TTGTAATTTACTTGCATTACAGCGAAAATACGCTGCTTTGCGGTCTTGGTGGCGTTTTATTTGATGTCGTTTGACCCGTGCAGCTCGAGAGCACGCTACTCTGCCATTCGTGGCAGCTACGTGACCCACAGTCAATGGACAAGGCCTTTCGAATTCATATAAAAATGATAGGTATTTTGATCGCCTTTGAAGAAACCAGTGTGACAGTCATTCTATAATTTTAGCTTGGTGTATGTCAATGCGCTCCTAAGAGGTTCGGAAAGAAAGGAGTATTTTTTCCAGGCAATGTGGGATAACAAATTTTAGCAATTCATTCAAAAGCAACGTGATAAAAATCATCCAAATTAAAAGAACGATATTATTATTCACATGAAAAGTTAGAGCACTCTCATGCTTGAGATGGTGAAACATTTTTTCAAAACAGAATGGCTCTGTTTTAAAAGTATTTTGCTTCGCCACATTAATTAAAAAAACATTGGTTTTTTTTTCCCTTTTTTTTTTACATATGGGTGGGAGATGCAGAGCGCGCGATGGGCTGACTCCGAGTCTGCGCGATTGCTCGAGGGACCAAAATACTGTTGTCGGTGAATGATGCAGCGTAAGCCCTTCAGAAAAATTTATTTCACCTCGCCAGTCAATTGCTTCCATTTTTGTGTTAAGCCTCTGAATTGTTTCAAGTCGCTCTTGTCCCAGACGTTCACCGTGATCAGTAATGTTATTCCGAGAGAATCGTAGCTTTAGTTCGTGGTTTTTTAAAGTTAGTCTCACTCTCGGACAAAGCACTCTACAGAGATTTGCTCAATTGTATATAAATAATAGTTTTTTTTAAATTACGAAAGCACTATTAAACAAATTTTAGTTTTGTTTTTTCGTGTATTAAAACTTTTGTGGGTATTTGTACCCCGTCGTAGTGTCTCTACACTCATTTTTGTCACGATTACTTCTACCGGACACATCGTAGTGCATATCGTTCGAATAGAGTCATTTGGTTGAATAAGACACCAAGACATCGTGAGGCATTCAAAGAGGTTTATTCAAGGAAACTGGCCCATGTGTGCTGTTCAGTTCATTCTACGGAAGAACTACAAGGATTGTAATTCTGTTAAGATAATTAAGGGCATCCTGAAATGTCAGGACTGCAGATGACAAATAGCCAAATATACTCAGTGACAAAAATAAAACACGAACACGAGGGATCCTACATCCAATTTTGGCAAGTGCCCGAAACTGGCACTTGCCAAAATTCGCAGTCTCGAGCCGGAAAAAATTCATATATATTGTTTTCTTGTCTTTTCAATTCAAATAATAGTTTTGAATCAGATGGATGTTTCGACTCGGATGGATGTTCTGACTCGATGGATATTTGACTTGATGGATGTTTCGGCTCGGATGGATGTTCTGACTCGATGGATGTTTTGACTCGATGGATGTTTCGACTCGGATGGATGTCTTGACTCGTTGGATGTTCTGACTCTGGTGTCACGTGGCCTGATGGATGTTTTGACTCGATGGATGTTCTGACCTAATGAATGTTCTGGCCATAAGCGAAGATGCAGTACAGCTGCAGGATATATTGTTTGTTCTGGTATTCCTTGTTACTTCTTTCAAGTGTGTAGTTGAGGTTGGAACTTTTGCATTCTCCCCTTTGTGTATTTTGGTTCATGGTTACCCTCTTCCGCTTTCCTTCAATGTGTAGTGCGGGTTAAAATGACCAATTGCCGGCTTTCCTTTTTTTTTTTTTTTTTACGGTGACTAAGTACCGGCTAGTTTAATGGTTTGTTGCTTGGCTTTGTATAATTAGGTCTTGTATGCCCTCTTTCCCTTTGGTTCCGTGTGTTTGCGGGTTTGAAAAAACCTTTTAACGGTTCTTTGTTGACTTTGTGTAGTCGGAGGCTTATCTTGTCCTTTTGTCTGGCTGAAAGATTTTTCTTTTGTAATGTTTTGGGCCTATGTTTGGCTTAGTGTATTCCGGGTGTTATGTTGTCATTGGCCGACTTGGTTGGTGGTGTGTGGACGTGGTGTGTATAAAAGTGCATACGATGAAATAAAATCCTTAGCTGTGTTTGAGACGTCGCCTCCTTGTGGCCTCTCTTCTCGTCCCTTTTCCGAAATACCCCAGTCTCGGGTTAGACAAAACTAGAGTTTTAGTATTGCGCATAGAAGCAAACGCAAGCGGTGTGCGTTTGCGTTAGAGTTGCGTGCGACACGTTCTGCGTGCGCCTCATCGCCATGCGCCACCCAAGACCGCAATTTCGGGCTCCACGCACGTGCAGAGTGGAACACGCAAAGCTAACCCAAACACAGCGCTTGCGTTCGCTCGTGTACGCAATACTAAAACTCACTACTGTTTCACCGACTTCCAGCGGCAACAAAACGTGCTGCAGTGGGCAAACGTGCAAGCAGGTAGGCGTTCCTTTGAAGTGGAAAGGATGAGATTGTCAAAACGACGGAGCGTAAAAATGCAAGTAACTAAATGTTATAAAAAAAAAAATTGGTAATTACAAAAAAAAAATTGTTTCTGGGCATTTGGTTTGGAAGGATATTGGCGGCGACTTGGGACGTTTTGCCGATTGTTAAGAGTCGCGACATTGATAGCAAAATATACTTTACCCACAATAATGTGATTTTACATGAAATGCTCAGCTTAGCTATTTATTTTTTTTATTTTAGACTATTTTTATTTTATTACTTGGTAATTAAAGTTGCTGCAATTGACACCAGTGATGATACTTAGCACACTTTTGATTGTCATATTTGCTCGCGCGTTTCAAATTAGATCATAAGCAACAAATTATATTAGACCCTATTGAAAATTCCATCGAGCTACGTAATTTGGGACACTGACTGCCAGTCAGCAGCGTTGGTGGAACGTGATGGACCATCAGACGTCATCTGATGGTCCATCAGATGACGTCTTACAGCCACTGCCAAGGGAATTTCATCAACAAGGGCAGCATTTATATAAGAGTAAAGCTATACGCACTCATAAATATCGCCAAATGCCTCATTAAAACAAAATGTTCGAGAAAAAAAAAAAAAAAACAGCACCACCGCGCATCGAACCCGCGACTACATGCATACAAACCGGACATCTTAACCGCTATGCTATGCCACCGTTAGAGAAACTCGATTGGACTATTCGTTTTATACGACATGCTTTGGCTGCAAATGCAGTTAAGTCGTCAACATGTTATGCAAAGCACTCGTACATCACTCGCCGTACTTCAGTTCTAGTCACCTGCCATGTAGAGTACTTTCGCGTCGTAGAACGATCCTTTTGTTCGCGCATCACCGGCCCAGTAGACCTGTACACCCTGTCGTCTTCAACTACACCGCTAAAGTCCCTTACATCGTCGGAACTCACAACAGGCTGGGTCTTGTCGAGTAGAAATTCTACTAAAACTTAAGACATTGTAGAGCCCGGGCAGGATCGACAGGTTGGAGCGAGCGGGCAAACAAAACGAGTCGAGAGCGATCGTTCATGAAAGCTCGGCGAAGCCTCTATGGGCGAAGCGAAGTGGCGAAGTGCGAAGTGTCGTGTTCGGCGGTTCGGCGGGCTTCTGATCAAGGTTGTCGGTCGGTTGCGTGTCGTATTTCTAACGTCAGCGGTTTTATGGGCTCACGTCCCAAAATCGTTTTCTCCTGCATAGATTACTTTTCGTATTCATAGATTTGACGAAATAGTGGTATCCGAACGAACTTTACGTCCTTTGACCGTACGTCTGTCTGCACGTCAAAGCTTTCTGACGTACAGTCAGAGACAATCGATGTACAGTCAGAATCACGACCAAGACATCCTGATGGCATTTCGCGGCGGCCGACTGCCACCAGGAAACCATCAGAAAGCCGACAAGCGGGGTCTGACTGGAGTTTGACTGTCGGTCAGAGTAACTTGTTGGCCAATCAGACATGCTTGACGTACAGTCAGGCACAGTCAGTGGTCCACTAGAAAACATTGACTACCAAACAGGGTTACATTGATGGATTTTTCCTTCGGGGAGCTTGAAAAATTACGTATTAAAATATCTGAATTTAAATATTATTATTATTAATACAAATCGCGGCAGTGCATGCCCCCAATTAACGCTATGATCACAACAACAACACAGTTTAATCGTAATAGTATTTCCAGAAAGGTGTCAGTTTGTTTTCAATTTAGCATATGAAAAACTCTGACATCGTTATCAAGATAGACAAACAGTCAAACACTGGATGGATTATAAAATCCTATGCGTGACCGCGTTGCTATAAAAAAAAAAAAAAAACTCATACCCACTTCAGTTGTCTGACTCGGATTTTGTCTTTGGATTGCTGCAGTGAGAACAGCGTTTATTAATTTATACGTTTTGTGGACATATTGTAAAAACAATTGAACTATATTATTAATTTGCTGGGAAGAATGTTAAACAAATTAATCATATAAATACCCAAAAGCCATTAAAAGGGCCCGCAGTTCATTATTTCCCATGAAAATTATCTCAGCGAGAAAAGGCAGCGAGAACGCACAAATATCATCACTGATTTCTTCAACAACTGCAAATAGCCTGGATCGAAATGTATGCCACAAAATAAAGTTTCCGCGAACAACTTCTCCAACTAAATAATTACGATGTTAGACACATCTTCAGTTATGAAAGAAACCAAAATTAAGACCTATATCTAGAAATTAAACCCGAAATCGAGGTTAGTTTCGGTTTCGCTCCACAATTAAAACGCGCATCCTTGCGTTAATTTTACGCTAAACACCGTTCTTGTTTTCAGGGTAAAGAGATGACCTGCGCTCATAACACCCTAGCTTCCTCGTATTACCAGAAATAATTTGTGTCGCTCAATGAAGACAGCACACTAGACAGGCTCAACAGCGGCACGCATCTCCGACCCTCACTATAACCGCCATCTTGAAAAATGAGTGGCGCCATCTATAGTTCGTTGGAGTCGCGGATATTGCTCATCTGTTTTTGTTTTGTTTTTTTGCCTTCCTGCTTATTTTTGAGGTATTCTGACGCTTCTGAGAAAATGTTCCGGTTCATGACCTTGCTTCTCGCAGCCAGCACATTAGGTAAGTCAAGATATTGCTTATTGCTAGATCGCACGAAAAACAAAATGCGACTGAAAAGCTTTTCGCTGGTAAAATCTCGCAGCCAGTTAGAGCTCATAAATGTCGACCAGAACACTTCGCGGTTTTTCTGCGTAAACCTTTTTGACACGTATCAAAACAAATTGCCGAAATACGGCATTCAATTTTAGTTTCAAATGCTTATGCGTTAGAATGTCTAGACGTCAAGTCATTAGGCTTATCCACTGCGCGCTTAAAGAACACCGGGCACCGCGAGTGGCCAACATCTTAAGATAGCTCTACGACCCTTGAGATTGCGCAATTAGCGGATTGATTGCGGCGTTAATCACACCCTGCACTTTGTAAGTTGTCTGATACTTCATGATGAAAAACAGTACGAACAACAAGGACACAGCGCCTTGTCATGTGTGAATTTCTCTCATCTGTGTCTATGTTTTGCGCTGTTTTTCATAATGAGCCCAACTGTCCATTCTAGTAAGCTTTATTTCATGTGACTCTAAGTGCAGGTTGTTAAAAGAAGAAAAAAAAAGATGCAGGGTCTTTCTCCTCTCAAAAATAAACTATTTATCTCCGAAAACTCATTCTCCGCCCAAATGAAATGCTAACCGTCCGCACCATTACACAAACATTTCAGAGCAAACCGAAATCTCATTCAAAAGCTGCAAGTAATTTTCTGAAACTTTTATTGGGCAAGTTTATTTATTTATTTATTTGGCTACCTATAGCGCCCTTGCTAGGGCAAAATTGTACTGGGAAAGACAGTACAAAATTTACACAAATGCAAAGTACTTATTGAAAAGAAAGAGCTGTGTGATGTGGGAGGATTCACATTGACAGCGCCATCAAAATATGTAGATGATAACACAGCAGCAACTTTGCAACAGAAACACCAAGAAAAGTCGATAACAAAATATCAAGAGCAAACAAATTTTAAAAACATCTTGTAGGGTTGTAAAAAATGATAAATGGTGGAGCAGAAGCAATTTCACCCGATAAGTTCCAATTGTGTACTGTGCAGGGAAAGACGCTATACTTAAATATGTTTATTCTGCACCCGTAATCACGAACTTTCATAGGGTGATTTGTACAGGGAGGCACAGAGGCCGATTATTTTATGTATTGTTTTTTATCAATGCCATTTCTGTGATTAAATATATACTAAAATAAGGACAGCCTAAGACATTTTCGGCGTTCTGCAAGGGGAGGCTACCCTAATTTATTACATATAACAGACGAGCTTTTAGAGAAATCATAGTCGCCTAGCACAAACCGCGCTGCACGTTTCTGTATACGTTCGAGCTCATCTATACTTCTCTTGTTGTGAAGATCCCACGCAGTGCAAGCATATTCTAAAATCGGACGCACGTTCGCCTTACATAAAATTTCTTTGAGTTTTGTGAGTAACTGCCTAAAGATTTGCTTAAGATATTTTAACGTGCGGCTAGCCTTAGAGGACAGATAATTAACATGAGCATTCCAGGAGAGTTCGCTGCAATACTGAACCCCTAAATGCTTATATTCTGAAACAACAAAGGAGCTTGTGCCACCAAGAAAATATCCTGTAAGCAGAGATATTTATTTGTCAGTACACTTTACTAGATTGCATTTGTTTAAGTTCAGACACTTCCTCAATGTTTGGAACCACGATAAACTAGAGTTGAGGTCATTCTGCAGAAGATCAGAGTCCGCTTCGCATGTGATGTCACGGTAAACACAGCAATCATCGGCATATAGTTTGACGAGACAAGAAATATTCGAAGCTAAATCATTTATGTATATAGAAAAAGAGGAGGGGACAGAGGACAAATCCTTGAGGGACACCCAATAAGGCTCTTACATTTGACGAACTCAAACTTTCGAGGACCACCATTTTGCTTTCTTCCAACAAGATAAGCTTCAAGCCATTTAAAAAGTGTATCTGGAACATAAATAGTAGGTAACTTTTGCAGCAACAGAGCATGTGATCCCGAATCAAATGCCTTTCTGAAGTCTAAAAAGACACAATCAACTTCGCTACCATAGTTTATGAATGCAGCGATATCATGGGTAAACTCAACTATTGTGTATCACAAGAAAACCCCGTTCTAAAACCATGTAGCGTGCGGTCAAAACAAATACTATTACGTTGTAGATGACTGATTAAGTTAGTGTCATTAATGTGTTCTAACGTTTTGCAGGAAATACTTGTCAGAGAGATAGGTATATGCGCGGTCAACAGAGCTTTCGAATACACGGAGCTTAATGGCGCCCGTTCCTGAAATCGAGGAACAACCGGGAACCATTTTCGCATTATACTGTTTAAAGAAAAATCGCGTAACTTTTGAATAAGATAACGGCTACTTCTGGAAACTTAGGATCTGGCTCGGTGCGTCCAGCGCTACATTTCCGTTCAGAATCAGCGCTCTACAATGGGCTTTTTCCCCGATAAACAAACCAGTTTGTTTTGAACACGCCGTAGACTAATGAACAAGGGTTCGAACACTTTAAGAAATCTGGAGTGTCTAGTTTCCCGCAATACACGTGGGGACGCAGGAGCTGCCATCTACAAAGAAAGATCGGCGAAAGACACGAGACTAGTAAACTCCTTAGGCCTAAAAAGGCAGTCAGCGCTGTAGTGCACTGAGTAGGGTGAAACGTCATGCTGAGTGCCACAGCCCACACTGCGTTTCTTCAACTGTAGACGAAGTTTGGTATCATTTGAATTCGACCAACCTTGTCGAGGTGAGTCCTCAGAATTATCTGTAATATATATATGCAAAATCCTGATCCCGGTGATGAATGACACTGCCTTTAGGATATATGAAAATATGTAGTTCAAGAGAAAAACAACATGAAACGCTGCGGGGCGGAATGCGTGAAAATCGCGATTTGATTTCTGCTCACGTTTAGACGATCTTTGCTAAATATAGACTGGTCAATTAGTCATACTAATTTGTACTCAATAAGTATGCAATGGGGGCTGTTTCTAAAGGTAAATTGTTGTCTTTTACAATTTTTATTTATTTTTACACAAAATCGCAAAAATGCCACCCAGAGCAATGTTCACTAACATAGGGATAGCTATATCAAACGAACGGTAAGGAGCTATGTCAGGAGACATATATCGATGCGCAGCTATTTATATCAGATCTCGATTGGTGTATGTTTGTTGTTCATCGAATTTATTGGACAAATTTTATTTCGCCCCAAATGTGCACAACAATTGAAAATATGCACCTTTTGAAGCCAATTGTTTCAAAAAAAAGTATTTTTTTTATTTTTTTTTATTTTTTTTTTGTTAATTTCATAACCCATAAGGTGTAAAAATGGCGTATATAAGTCTTGGATGTGATATTTTTGTTACATTTTGGTGACTAGTTAAATAAGCCAATTTTAAGCCTGTCAGTCAATCCCTGGCTCAACTATGCTGGCTTCACTACAATGTTGCTGGCGGCCTCGTTATAGTAAAATGTCTTTGTTTTGTCAAGAGTTTACAGAACGAAGGTGGAAAGAAAAAAAAAAAAGCTCTAACACAGCTTGATTAGTCCCGAGCCACCTAAACAGCAGTTGAGACGCGGCCACCAAATTATTTAAATATGATTAGGAAATAAATGAAAACATGAAGAGGTCCTTTACACCAGAGAAAAATTAATTAGTGTCACCATATAATGCAAATTCAACTTGAACAAACTAGCATTGGTAGACCAAACGCGACAAAAGACAACTTCAGCCCTAAAAAATCAACACTTTTCTGCTATTCGTTTTCGTTCCAGATAAGTATATTAACACTTATCTTCTATTAGGGTTAGTTTGAGATGAGTATGATTAATTAATTCCCTTAAGCTGCACACCGACACAGTGCTAAGTCCTATATTTTACCTTCTGATTTGATTCAGTGTGGTCGGAAGGGTGGATGATGTAGTGTATTGGTCCGTAATTATTTCTGAAAAATGGTACTTCCATGGTTCTACACTTCGCGTTGGATATGCCTATACCTTTTTGTTAGGTTTGTTAAGTCTTCGAGATAATGTTGAGATTGAATTTTTTCCTATGATATATTTTGAGCATAAACTATATTTGTAGAAATCAAAAATTTTCATTACTCTAAGTTGATTGAAAACAATGTTCATTGGATAATCCAGCGTAACATCAGAAATACTTCCTAATACCTTTTTTGTAATATAAATATCTTTTCAAGATAGGTATCTGCAGGGATTCCCTATATAAGAGGGCCATCATTTATATGCGAGTAAAATAATGGATTATATTTTATTAACTTTGCTTTAAGAGGCAATATGCGTTAATGACGATATAAAACACCAGCGACACTGGATAATTTAGATACGATGAAATTAATATAATCGTCCCATTAAATGTTTTCGTGGGAAAAAATAAAACCTAAAGTGTAAATGTCGGTACAATTTCAATTTCCGAGTAAATTAAAAAGAATATTTTGGTAAGGTAGACATATTCATTTCTTGGTTGAAATAAGACCGCTTGCGCCTTGTTATTTAATTTTAGAGCATTACATTTATTCCGACTATGAACTTTTTGTAATATTTCATTGGCGTCACGTATAAGCTCTGTGGCGTTTTCTCTAGTAAAAATAAACTAGCATTATCAGCGTAGACATAAAAATTCGTTGTTAAACTTACGTTTGTTTTGTCATTTATATAGATATTGAATAATAAAGGCCCCCATATACTCCCTTGGCGAACGTCGGACTTAATACCCATTTGGGGAACGCCACACTCTCACACGTGTGGCTACTTGAAAAAGGTGAAGTGCGTCTTCAGCGAACAGCATAATTTGTATTTTAGTGCCTACATGGTGTTTCACAATGCGTGACTTTGTTAACTATCTAGGCAAATGACAGACGTTTTGTAAAGCATCTGCATGAACACACGGGGGAGTGTTGTGCATAATGGTCACCGTCTCTGTATGAGTATTTTATCAACGTGGATACATCAGTAGTTCAATCAAGTTTTTTAGAGCGCAGCTCTTAGGCGCCCGTTTCCGGCTTGAGCGGCGTCGCCGTCGCCGCCGCCGTCGGCGTAACCGCGCGGTGCATTATGGGAAATGTGACAATGTCCCATAATGCACCGCGTGGGACCTTTGTGACGTCGCGAGCATCCCTCGCGGTGCATTATGGGACATTTCCCATGATGCACCACGCGGGGAGTCCCCTCCCCACCTCCTCCCCCTCCTCTTGTCCGCGCGGCGGATTATGGGAAATGTCCCATAATGCACCGCTCGGGGAGGAGGAGGGGAGGAGGAGGGAGAAGGAGGGGAGGGAGGGAGGAGAGGAGGTGAAGGAGGAGGAGGAGGGGAGGTAGGGGGAAGAGGAAGTGAAGGAGGAGAATGAGGGGAGGAGGAGGGAGCAGAAGGACGAGGGGAAGAAGCAGGAGGAAGAGGAAAGAGGAGGAGTGGCAGAAAGGATGAGGAGGTGAGCAGGAGGAAAAAGGGGTATAGTCTCCCCTCAGTACCCTTCCCTCCTCCTCCTCAAGAGCTGCGCTCTAATTCGGCGTTACTGGGTGGTGTCTTGTGTTGTGACACCAGTTGGCGTTTTTTTTTTCTCATTATGTCAGCTGCACTTCGTTTTATGTATGTAAGCTTATCAGCAAAGTACAATTGTCTACATAGGTCAAACAGTTCAAGTTTGTGAAAAAAGATGTCCGTGCGTTCAGAAGTGGAAAACAAATTTCCATGATCGCAGAAGATATGTACTGAGCTGCTTCATGAGTGATTTTTTTCTGTTTATATTTAAATTACACTTTTTTATGTCACTGTGCGCCAGCAATTTCTACGATAAGAACGTTCACCTGCCAGAGCTTGGGACATGTCGGCTCGTCCCACAAACAAACTGCAGGTGGCAGTACTGTTAACACGAATGGTTCATTTTGCCCTCCGTAACGTGCCTCAGATGTTTCAGGAGTGGTCATGAGCATATATACCGGCAAACTGATCGTGATAAACTGGCTTCTAAAACCATATGTTATTATTGAGGCCGTCAGTAGCATTGTGGTGAAGCCACAATAGTTGAACCAAGGATTGAGTGACAGGCTCAAAATTGGCTTCTTTAACTAGTTGTCACCAAAATAGAACAAAAATATTGCGCCCAAGAGTTACATAAACTATATCTACACTTTATGGGCTATGAAATAAAAGTTACAAGGAAAGAAAAAAATGGATATTTGAGAAAGCTTGACCTCAAGATGTGCATATTTCCAACTTTTGCACATATTTGGGGCGAAATCAAATTTGTTCAATGAATTCTAAGAACAAGAAATACGACCCAAACGATAGCTTATATAAATAGCTACCTCATTGTTCGTGTGCTATAGCTATCCCATTGTTAGTCAAAATTTCTCTGCGTGGTATGTTTGCGATTTTATGTAAAAATTAATTAAAATGGTAAAAGACGACATTTGACCTCCAAACACAGCCCGCATTGCATGCTTATAGTGTAAAAATTATTATCACTAAGTGGAAAGTAAATATTCGCAAACACTGTCCAAATTTGAGCAAAATTGAATCACGCATTTCACACATCTACCCGGCAGCGTTTAATTTTTTTTTTCTCTCGAACTACACACTTCTAATTTTTTTTTTTTTTAAGGGAGGCTGGTTTTTTACAGGGATAGCGATTTTACAAATATTTTTTTTTTTTGATAATTCCGAGGACCCGCTCCGACAAGGTTGGTCGAATTCAAATGAAACCGCCCAGTAGATCGCGTGTTTCGTTTACTCGTTTAATTCATAAACAGTGTAACTTCTCTTCACACGCATAGTCTAGTGAAGTTTCTTGTTTCTTTGTTTTTCTAGGCAATGCAGTGACCGTGAATGACTTCAACGACTATGTGGACAGGGCCGTTGGCTCGAACCTTCCGCCTCTCATTCGGAACGCATATTCGCTTTATCCGGAGGCCCGCATTCCCTCCCACACATTCGAGGTGACGGGAGATTATTTATTGTACGGTGAACAAAAGCTGGGCTGCTCTCTAACTTGCACTGAAGCGGGGCTCGGTTTGGTGGTGAATGCGGGTGACTCGCCCAGTGGTTAAAATAGCCTCGAAAGAGCCTCTGACGCCTCGTGGCCGGGTCGATGGGGCCAAAACAAAATTAAAAGACGCTCGAGTTTCAGCGAACGGCGGCCGTGAGTCAGTCTTCGCTTTGATTATTCGGGTACAATTTGGCGCGCAGAAAGAGGGTGAAGAGGCTCGAAATATACCCGATATTATTCGCATTTGTAGTATTTAGAAGGGCATGTAAAGTTATTTGTGCGGAAGTTTGTGGTAATTGGTAATTAAAGGAAAATACAGGCAAGGCTCACGCGTTTTAACGGAAATCGGGTGGAACACAACGGGTGCGTTCTTCCCATGGAGCCGGTCCGGTGACTTCAAAACCTTCTTGCGCCTATTTTAAGCGCCTAGAGAGACAGCCGCATTCATCAGCAGACCGGCCAAGAGGGGTGCAACAAAATCTAGAGTGGAAGTGGTTGCTTTCGGATGTTGCAATCAATGACGAAGGTTGAAATTTGATAGGGCAATTATGTTCTGACTTCTAGCACGAACTAAAAGGCTGGTTCACACATTTGTGTTTGAGTGCGGTTGAATACGCTGTGTTCCCTCGTCGTAACCACCTACGGCGGAACAACACACTGGCACACTGGCGCCATCCTCTATCCGGTATCAATGGAAGCACTTTAAATCTCCTCGTAAGGTGCAAGATGTACAAGTGCAAGATACATAAGGATCCATTAGGGCTCGATAAGGTGTCGGGAACATCGCTGTGACTGTAATTTGGATTTCCACAGGAGTGCTTTTCTTTTTTTTGGTATAGAAACTCTTGGTATTGACTCTTTTTGGACTTGCAGCTGTTGGGAGAGTCCTCCTGGCAAAACATGGAAGTGAGGTTGACCGAGGGGGCTGTGAAGGGACTGGACGTCGTCACTGAACGTAGCGGAAGCTGCATAGAGCCGATGGAGTTTCTGTCAGGCATGTTGTCAGGCTGCGCCCTCGACTTGAGCAAACTCCAAGTCACGTACACTGCGCAGGTGAGACTGCTTACATTTCCAAGATGCTAAACTAGATTTTGTTAGCTCCCCCAAAAACGTAATTCTGTGCTAGGAATGGGATTTCGACCGGTGTGCTTTTGATGCTGCCCCGGCCATACATAAATAGTGGTGTCGAGGTGGCAACAAATGGCGTCACAGAAGCAGTCGTGTCGTCTTCTCGAATATCACAATTGGTGTTAGAAGTATGGTGTCTTGAACACGTCTCTGATTTCCGCCTCGTGACGTCATGCAAGCGTCATGCTGTCGCCGGCCGCGATCTTGACTGTGTCTCCGCACAAATGGTAGATGTAGCAGACGCCTGTTCTGCTGCAGGTCCCTCTTCGATGTGACAGTACACGGAAGCTTCGGTAGCAAGAAGTTGAGATGCCGCGACGACAGCGACACTGGTATTCCCTCGTAATTTGCGTCAGTATTTCTAGGACTACCCGCCAGGATCGCGGCATCCGACTGCTTGACCCTCCGGCTTCTATGACGTTATTGGTTGCCACTTCGTGGCCATACTAAAAGTATGGGCGATCTCGCCCATACGTGATGCGTGGGCGAGATCGCACACCAAACACTCCAGTCGGAGAAGCGCTCCAGGCAGCATACTAGAAGTGTCGGCAAAGAGTGCGAATGAACGCCGCAGCTTTCCACCGCCTGGCTACTGAAGCTTTGGCTAAATTTAGCGGAGAAATTGACGTGACGTGAATAAAAATCACGTAACGTGGTCGCATGAAGCCAATTTCCCTTCTATATTTAGCGGGAAACTTCACGTGACGGTGTTCTTCCTTGAAAATATTTTGTAACGGTTTTCTTATGAAATTCGACTGATAAAACGCATTCTTAAAGGTGATTCACATTAATAAAAAGATATAAAAACACATGAAATCCACCCTTTAAGGTGTGTCGCAGGGACGCTGGTGGGTGTGAAAGACACCCGTTTTACGGGACGTCAATCTACCCCGCTAGATCAAGTGAGGAAATCGACGTCACGTGACATCTTATGACCTCGAGTCACGTGACGTCAATTTCTAAGAGGTATCTGTGCGAGGTCGTGGTTCGCTCTCAGCACATTCTATGCTCCTCGGTCACGATCAAGCTTGTATAATGTCAGTTTCCCCTGGCACAGCTAACCACGTTATTTTCTTTTGTTTTTTTACAGACGAACCGAGGCGGACGCAAGAGGTTCTGGGTGGATGTGAGGGTCACATCTGCAAAGGGTAGAATCGATCCGTTCAGAGTCGGGCGCCGACCCGCCATGCGCGCGATTGTCGCGACCCTCTATCTGCATCCCATCGAGCTTCAGAACAGTTACGACCGCGAATTAGCTCTCGAATCACCCCGCCAGATAAAGTTCGTGCGCCAAGTTGAGCGTTACACGCGATCAGAGCTCTTCAAGATCCTCCAAGGCAGCTACTTGAGGGTTCTTAGGAATGCTTTCGCTTGCTTCGCCTGTAGACGACCCTCCTAATAACCGTGGAAGAAGAAAGACGTGTTTGAACCAGGGCCTACTCTCGTTTTTACACTTCTTTTTACTCACCTGCTGTGGAACACAAGTTTGGGCCTGAAATATACCAAGTTAAACGTCGTTTACTGGTGAAGAAAAACGCTCTAATTAAAATATTACACGTTTACCGTGTTAATAAAATTACATACCTTTCGGTACCGCCCAAATAACAAAAGTGTTCTGTATTATTTTGCGGTGAAGAGACAGAATGCACGCGCGTTTTCTCTTTGGAATACATAAGAGTACAGCAAACTAGACTGGTAGCTGTCTGCTTCAATTTGCATCCCGGAATTTGCATATTCAGTGGCGCAAGCTGAAGCGCTAGCGTATAATATTGTAACTATGGTTCCGAGCATCTCTCTACCGAATGGATGGATAGATGCCTACGGCTGTATTGAAAAGGGGCGATAGCTGGCGCCTCGTAGCCTAGAATCCAAAATATTATTCGTCCCCTCGCCCTTCGTATTTTTTTTTCTGACTTTAAGAACGCAATGCATTTTTATTATATTCCATTCAAGTGTATGTGCCTGAACATTTTACGTGAGGTTACTTTTTTGCTGCTAAAAACCGAAGCTAACGCTGCGTATACAAATCACGTGACTGCGTACCCCGCGCATTGCAGCGTCTCCCCGAAGCTCCCGTGACACTCACACGGCATTGGAATGGCTCGTAGCGTCCTCTGCTGTCCATCGCAAGGTGAAACGGAGTATATTCGGGTCTCAACGGTCTCGATCGGTTCCAGAAGGCCGGTTTGCTAAGGACGCGCGAAATCAGCAGCACCTCTTCTCTTCATCGCGCCGATAGTCACGTAAAAACGTGACGTTCGCGCTGTCCGTGCTGCCATTGGCTGCGGCCATCCGACAATTGGACAGCTGTGCGGCGAACATCTGGCAAGCTGGTCGCATGCCCACTACACACAAACAGACAAGCCGGATCCGGACGGAGCACCCGTCCGACAGCTGCACTGCGAAAAAAACTCTCGCCTCCGACTGTCGTTCCGTCAGATCACAGGTCGGATGGGACAGTTTTTTTTTCGAGCATCTGTCTCGCATTTAAGTCTCACAGAAGTGTCGTTCTTAAGTTCTTCCCCAAGCTTCGACCCCCTCCGTATTTGTTTAAACTTCACGGTTTCCGAGTGCAAATAAAGGCAATGGAGGGTTAATGTTAACAAGTGACGCAAACGTAATTGTCGAATTAACAACTCCCAAAGGGATAAGGGAGTCTTTCAAGAATATAAAGTATTTTCTGAAGGAGAACAAAAAAAAAAATGCGGGGAGGGTAGTTAGAAGCACATGTGTTGTGAAACTTCCTCTGCCCCGCATCTTGGGCGGAGTCCAGGAAACGCGTCCCCGGAAACTACACCGTTTCCAAAAACACTTTTTCCGTGCGCGTTTCCGTGTGGTGCCAAACTTTCGCGCCGTTCCTCACGACGCTGCACAAAACATACATCTTTCGTCTGTCAAAATGCAGCTTGCATTTCGTACCACCGGATTTGATATTCTCATCAAGTACAAATCGCGATGGCCATCAGCTTATAGTGATATGACGTCACGTGCAAACCATCATAAACACTTATTTTTTTTTCTGATGAAACACGATGAGCGCAGCACCAGCAAAGCTATATGTCTAAATTCTGAAGTTGTGCAGCACATATAGCGATTTCGAGATTATATGCGGCAGTCTAAGAAAATGTTAGAGCGGAATATTGATAGAGCGCACAGTTGTAGACTTAGGGCCCAAAACGATTGCACGTAAAACCGAAATACTGCCTCCCGAGGCAGTATTTCGAAAAGTTTAGAGTTCGTGCAAGCTGATACCCAAATATGCCCTTTTTTAGACCACCTGAGACTGGGTGAAAGAAACACGACGACGTCACTTGAGACGTCGTCGTGTTTCTTCCGCCCAGTCTCAGGTGGTCTAAGAAACGGTAAACTTACACCAGCTCGCCTGCGCCCTAACTGTTTTTTCACCCAAATAGGGTTTATGTTAGGAATAAAAAACTTTGTCTGTCTATATACACTTTAGAAGCTATGCATCGTAAGTACCCACAAATTATCTTAAAGTTGCTCTGCAAATATTATTAGGCCTTTTTTTTTTTTTCTTGTCGATAGGCACATTTACAAGTAGAGCGCTGCGCGGATAACAGTTTGGAAATCAGCACCCGATCCGCGTCCGCAGATTTCGTATCCGCATCCGAACACCATTTGCAATGTTCATAAATATTTATATCCGCATCCTAACCACATCCGCGAAATTCGGAACTGCATCCAACTTTAAATCCGTGCATTCAATATACATCATGAAATAAAGCATGAATAAAAATTAAAATTCACGAGGTATCTTATGTTTTCCCTAAGACCACTTGAAGGCGAAAGCCCAAGCGTCGATCCCTGTGATAGCGAACCTCCGAAAGCAGCGTCTTCTCTGACGACGCACGTTTGGCGCCGTTAACCTCGCGGCATGTCGGCATGCCCGCTCTTCACCGCTGCCCAAGCGAGAGTGTCCTCCTGTCCCACTAGGGTTGCGCCGCGCGCGGATCTCCGCCGATTCTCGCACAAGTAACGCCATCTCGTGGCCCAGTGGCGAACCGTGGGTTCCGGTACCTTCGTGCCACTGACCTGTTTTCGCTCAAGGACTGAACAATGAGACAAGGCGTTCGCGTTAAAAAAAGTCATCTAGATTATATCCCATAATAAGCCGTCTGCTTACCTTTGTGCGAAGAACTGTTTGTGTCAGAATACGCTCAAAGTCACTTTATTGTTATTTTTCATCGAATTTTTAAAATAAGATACTATCCTTCCAGAGACACTTCGCATCGCTGGAAAGAGTATCGCAGTTATGAGATCGTCTTGAAAGTCCGTGACACTTACACTCTGCCCAGAAGGTGCGCTCAAAAGAGAGGAAATTTTATATATGTATTTTTTTTTCTTTGAAAAACTCACTTCACTCGGATGCATATTTTATAAACATAAAACTTAACAAAGGACAAACTATCAACATCGTGTCAATTTATTTAAATTAAACAATAAAAAAAGTGGTAGAGGAAAGGCGCTCACCCCCGTTGGAAAGTACTCGTATGTGGTGAGGCGCCAGTGCACCAATGTGAAAATATCACAACATTCGATAGTGGCAATGCATCCTATCAGTTTCAGTGTTCAACACGAACCCTCAGCTGTATGCTCGGAACCATATCCTTACAAACAACTCAGTACCAGCTGCCGAGAAAAAGAAAGCGCACACAAACGCAACTTGTCGAGGTTTATATGTAGAAGAAACTGATTATCGTACACATGGATGGATTCGGACTGGTTGACCATTCTTAAATTAATACCCGCTAATCAGAAGTCGCTCTCCGTTGGAGCACTTGATGCTGGGGTGGAATGCACGAACAGCGTTCCATGAATGAGGTGCGGAAAGTCGTACTAACTCAAGTTCCGTCACTCCAGAGGATCGAATTCAGTCTCTTCGATCAACTTGAAAGCGAAGAAGCCACTTGCAAGCTTCTACTTTCTTGTGGGTTGTACGTTTCGGAATTTCTTTGCCCCAAGAACATTTTCCGCTCTTTCCCTGCCAAACAAGAACATGCATTTCCGGGACGACGGATGCTCCTGCATTCTTGACGTTTTCTAGGGACAGATTTTGCCGAGACAGAACGGTTTAAAGTGATCTTTGGTGCCAATCAAATATTTCTTGACGTAACAAAAATGTTCCCCCAATCGGCACTTTTCATCTAAGAAAGAAGCTTGCTCCCACAATACATTTGAAGATGCACTTCATAGTATCGCTGACTTATTCGCTCAACGCTGTGCGGTCACGCACGTTCATGGGCTGCCTCGGCAAAAATGTAGATGCGAACTTGCGGATATCCGGAACCCATCCGGAATCCGCCAAGTCTGATTTATTTTATCCGCAACAGCCATTTTACTGCGGATATCCGCGGGTGGTCAGCATATTATTGGCGGATATGCGGGCTCTATCTATAAGTGATTCACAAATAAAAAAAAAAAAAGATGTTTGAGGCAGAGCCTTAGACAAATGTTTTTATTTTGAACTTGGTTTAAATATCTATGTGTTCTAACATATTCTCAAGCTTCTCAAACATATATTACTCTTTTATTGACTCTTTTATGTGATGAACACCAATTTTATGTATGTTGGCTAGTAAAAAAGAAAGTACACGGGGGCGCGTGGTGAAGTTATGACGATTACGCACACAGACCGCCAAAATTTAACCACTTAAGTAGCTGCCATGTCAAGTAGAACATAAAATACTACTTCTTTTTTACAGAAAATATGAGTTATCAAGGGGGATGCTTATTTACTAATTTAATTGACCGGAATCTTGTCAAGAACCTACTTTAACAGCCAGGCTATGCAAGTTTGTGCTGCATAAGAAAAACACCACTTTGCTACGCGTTATTTTAGGCGAGAATCCATCTGAGCACGAAGGTGTGTATATTTTGAAGTGAGCAATTCTGATCATTCATTTCTGCATGATTCTTCGCCTGCATCACAGTGCCGAGTGTAAACGATATTGGTTAGGAAAACAAGTGTCCTGATTGCCGCTAAGTGTTTCTATAAAGGACGGACTGAAATGGCTCGTCCTAAAGCTTGTGTGACCTCTTGAAAATATAATTTCTCTGAGCTCAGTTGCACCGTCATCCTCAGGGATGGGCAAAATATGTATCGAAATACAAATACAAAATACTTTATCAAAAATGTATTTAATTACAAATCTAATTACATTTCCAAAAAAGCATTTAAATACAAGATACAAATACAACCAAATGTATTTGGTCTCCTCCAAATACTTTTCCAAATACATTCCTCAAAATTTGCGTCAGCGACTTCAGGGCACCTGCAACGGATTTCTGGGTATCTCATTTTAGTTTTGCATCGCACGCTCGGGAGTTAGTGTGCGAGCCTCTAGTAACGTAATAGAAATATAATAACAAAAAAATGTA